AGCGGCCGTTTTCAGATCCAGAGTGAGCTGATGGGAATCTGATGGAGATAAAACACATCAGAATCAGGAATTATGAATCTGTTTGATCTTTTCATGTAGCTGAACTCTTCATGTTCAGTGTATCATCAGTGTCTCAGTACATATGAGCAGATATCTGTGCAAATCATCATTTACATCAACTTTAAAACTTTTCTTTCAGCTTCTACAGGAAGAACATGAACACACTCAGTGAGTTTCTGCTTGTTTTCTTACTGACTTACATTGTAGGAAGTGGTTCCTGGTTCTGGGAACAATGATGGTGAATGTGACTGTGGAAATCAACAGACATGAACAGTGTGATTCTCATGATCCTGCATCTATTCCTAAGACATTTCTAATATGATGTTCTCCATGATATGAGATGATGATGGACTCGTCTGGATGATCAGGATACGACTGGCCGGTGTCAGTGTTAGTAATCACTCTGTTGCTCTCAGACAGACGGAGGTGTTTATTCACTGTGTTCAGATCCAGAGTGAGCTGATGGGAATCTGATGGAGATAAAACACATCAGAATCAGGAATTATGAATCTGTTTGATCTTTTCATGTAGCTGAACTCTTCATGTTCAGTGTATCATCAGTGTCTCAGTACAGATGAGCAGATATCTGTGCAAATCATCATTTACATCATCAGTTATAAAACTCTTCTTTCACCTTCTACAGGAAGAACACGAAGACACTCAGTGAGTTTTTCTGCTTGTTTTCTTACTGACTTATATTGTAGAAAGTCGTTCCTGGTTCTGGGAACAATGTTGGTGAATGTGACTGTGGAAATCAACAGACATGAACAGTGTGATTCTCATGATCCCGCATCTATTCCTAAGACATTTCTAATATGATGTTCTCCATGATATGAGATGAAGATGGATTGGTTTCTGAGAGCAGATGAATCTCCAGTACTTTACCTCTGCCTGAGATCTTCTTCAGCTGCTCTTTGCAGAAATCCTCCAGTTTGTCTCTCAGCTGACGGACAGATTCTCTCAGACCATCAAAAGAGACGAGAGAAATGAAGGGATCGTCATTTACGTCTGTAGATTCAGGAGGTGCTGAGAGAGACTGGAAAATCTACAGAAAACAAATCAAACTCATCAGCTCCACACTTCACCCAATAACCTACAGGAACATCAGATCTGACTTGACTGATCCTTAGTAACTCAATCAAGCACTTTCACAGCATCAGCTTCATTCTTATATTCATTATATCACATTAGAGCTACAGATTCTAGTGTTTGCCACTTACACTCTATGTGAACTTTCTAGGAAACACACTGAACAAAATTATAAACGCAACACTTGTTTTTGCCCCCATTTTACATGAGCTGAACTCAAAGATCTAAGACTTTTTCTATGTACACAAAAGGCCTCTGCTCAGGAAAAGCAGCTCAAACGCTACGATTAGATTGAGCATTATGGGAACACTTTACAATACTGGTGCACTGATATGCATTAATTAATTCTTAACTAATGCACAGATAACCATGAGTCAATGCACAACTAAATCATTCATTAATGATCACTACATCAGCAACTAATAAAGAGTCTATCTGATTAATAGATTAAGTAATATATCAATTGTAATTTATTCAATTAATCAATTAATTAAAAGTGTCAACCTGTATTAAATCCTTAATAACATAGTATTAACTAATAGTGTAATTTAATGTGTTACTTACCACAATGGGTCAAAGCTATGCATTTCAACTTACAGTTATCTGCTTTAATTAATCATTAGCTAATGGTTTGCAAATATATCATTATTTTATGACTTTACTTGTTGAGGCACATACTGTATATTAACTCATTGTTAAGTATATGTCATTATGGTTAGGGGTTTTGCTATCCCCACCAAAGTTTAAGGTCTGTGGGACTGTTTGGACAGTTGCACAGTGAATGTAATGTCAGAGGATATTTTTAAGGATGGGTAAGTTGAGCTGCACATGAATATTAGCGCAACAGAATCTGAACTACTAGACACTGAAACTTCACAAGGACCCATTTGAGCAAGATTTCCGGAGCTGAAAGCTAATAATTTCTTTCAAAAGATGATCAAATGAAAGTCTGACTGATGATTATATAATAAGACACTCATGAACTGTTTCTCTGTGAGTCTCTGTCACAGCAGGATCTGCTCAAGTCCACTATGATCCTGTTCTTCTAGATCTCCGTTACCTGCAGGAACTGGCTGTGATCCTGTGTGTGCTCCAGCTGCTCCAGCTCAGCGTCTCTCCTCCTCAGATCATTGATCTCCTGCTCCAGTCGCTCCAGTCGTCCTTCAGCTCGACTCACTGCAGTCTTCTCCTGATCTCTGATCAGCCGTACCAGCTCAGAGATCCTCTCACTGTCCTCCACTGCTGTCTGTGCAGAGCGCTGTTAGGACACACAGTGATTCAGGCTTCAGTGAGTCTGAACTGAGACGGAGACAAACTTCTCTTCTTCTCCAGACTCACCTTATGAGACTCCACAGCCTCTCTCAGCTGCTGAAGATCTTTCTCTCTCTGCTGGATTCTCTGCTGGAACGTCTTCTGTGTCTCCTTCAGCTGCTTCTGCAGGACAAACGGATGATAGTGAACGTCACAGAAGACTACTGACTCTAAATCATAATGTGAACAGATGAATCCAGTAAACATGGAGCTGATAACTAATGACTGTAGGTTCACACTGACAGTGTTTCTGTGTTCTGCGTAATTAAGCTGCGGCTCTAGACAGAAAATAAATGAACAAAGTGAGGCTATAAATGACTGAAATAATCTGTATTCAGTCAGATTTACTGAACAGAAAGTCGTCTGTCACTGCATTTATACTGTATTTTGACTGATGGAAGTATATATTTGATCAAAGAACGGGTGAATAGTTCACTCCTGTCACAACGCTGTGTTGTTAGTACACATGAACACTATGACGAAGGTTACAGGCAGCCTTTAATAAATCCACAGGCAAGATATATAAACAGAGAGAACTGCTACAACACATCTAAACACGGAAGAGACCCGACAGTTATGACGGGAAACAAACAAACTAAAGCACTAAATCAAACGAGGCTAATAAACCATACACACCTGAACTAAATGACAAAATCAATTTACTAACCATGACAATGAAAATGGTGCAGACTGAAAACAAACTCTGTGAATGTGTGACAACTCCATTATTTTATGTTGCTTAATCAAATCCTATTTTATGAAAGATGTGTTGATGAAGGTTTACGGTGCATTTTCAGCAAACTCTTCTTGCAGCTGCTGTTCATCTCTGCTGCTGTGTGCAGTGTGAATGCTGTAAGCTGTTCATATGATTGCCAATATAAACATGAGTGTCAGCAATATTTCTTCAGTGTCTAGTGTTAAATACCTGTTTCTCTGTCCTCTGTGCTGCAGCTGATACAGTCTCATGATTTTTATGTTGATCCATACACAGCACACATATACATTTCTGATCAGTGCGACAGAAAACCTCAAGGAGCTTCTCATGTTTCTGGCAGATCATCTCCTGCAGTCGTCCAGTGGCATCAATCACTTTGTGTCTCTTTCCTCTAAAGAAACTCTCATGTTGTTCGAGGTGATTCTGACAGTAAGAGTTCAGACACACCAGACAGGACTTGACGGCTATGTATTTTCTTCCAATACAGACGTCACACTGAACATCTCCAGCTCCAGCTTCACAGTCAGCAGGACATTTCCTCTTCTTCAGTTTCTCCACCATTTCAGCCAAGATGGTATTTTTAGCTAAAGCAGGTCTCGGACTGAAGCTCTGTCTGCACTGAGGGCAGCTGTAGACTCTCTTCTGATCCTCCTGATCCCAGCAGCCTGTAATACAGCTCATACAGTAACTGTGTCCACAGGGAATGGCCACTGGATCCTTCAGGAGATCCTGACACACTGAACACTTGAACTCATCCTGAGAAATTCTGGCTTCTGCCATTTCACCGCATGAATACAAAGACACAAACACATGACAGCTCAACTACACTTCAGTTTCTCTTTCCGTGAACGGATGAGTTGAAATAGTTTCCTGGTTCTGTGTTTGAGTGATGTTTGTAAAACAGGTTTGACTGCGAGTCTGTAAAGCAGGTTCCTCATGCCTGCTTCTGCTGAGTTTAGCTTCAACACATCCGGCTGTTATTAAAGTAAATGCAAAGACCTTGACTAGTTGATTCAGGTGCATATAATTAGAGATCAAACTAAACCCTGTGGGAAAGTGACTCTCCTGGACTAGGAATGGGGAACTCTTATAATTAAATATCTACTAGATGTCAGTCTCAGACAAACACTCAAAGAATATAAATTACAAACACATTATCCCTCTCTCCAGCATCTCCACTTTTATGCTTCTCACAGAAAATGGAGGAACTGGTTTATGCTGGGACCAAACTCTCCCACTCTTTCGCTGCAAGCCCCCAGATATCAAC